AGTTTTGTTTTGCGTGATCCAGGCGCGAATGTCGACAAATTTATGAACCTCGCTGCGCTCGAGGAATGGAACGTTTTGGATTGGTTGGATTTTAAGGATTTTGATTGGTTGGATTTTAAGTACGTGTTTTTTATGCATAGTTGACTGATTACATGGATAACTCAAATTAAAAAGTAAAGAAGACTAGAGTTAATATGTAAAGACACATGAAAAGGAAAATTCCCCATGATAGACCAAAATTTAGATATGAAACAAATGAAAACACAGTGAAAGGCGCTTATATTGTTTATGGTCGCTCGATGTCTTCAAAGAAACATAAATCCGAAAGCGACTACAAGGATCAGAGTAAAAATGGCCAGTAGCACCACAACAATCACAATCAGGTTAGGTTTGGTAGCATGTACATCGTCTGCCAAGGGATATTCAGTGACAGTATTCCCAAACGTGACCCCTTAATTTCGATAAAATGTGTAGCTGCTGAAAGGCAAAATTATATTACAGATCAGATCGTAGGAGTTCAACGGCGTCAAAACATGGCGAAGCAGTTCAAGTACTTTAATTGGTACTTTTCACATCGGATCTCTTCTGATGGTGACATCTTTGAACAAAGAAAACATTGCAAATATTGTTGAAAATAGCTTTTCTTTCTTAGTTCTATGATTTCCAATAACTTTTAACAATTTCTAGTTTAATATCTCGCCGAAGAACAGCTTTGCTACACGACATCTCGAGCCCAAAAAAATTTGTAATTTTAATCGATTCGCATGCCTTTTTGTATGTTACCTCACCTGCCCTGTTTGTCATTCAAATTAAAATGACAGTTGATAAAAAGAAAAAATTTAAATCAATAAGCGGAATGAAATGACTGGAAGGGAAATCTTGGTTTCAGGTTTCTGTTTGGGAAACGCATTAAAGATATTTGGGGAAGAAATCCTTTTTACTCAAGGCAATCTTTATTTCTATATCTCTAAGTGATAATATCATTCGGTGAGCCACCATTGATTAAAATATATATAAGTTAAATTACAGAGATGCAGTATATATATATATATATATACACACACATCATAAAACAGCTTTACAAATATAGTTTCAGCATGAGTAATTGGCAGTAATTAGCATAACACCAGCACCAACTATCATAATTTATTCATGACATTTTACTTTAACTCATGAGGGGAAATAAAAATTTAGAGGGCTGAACCTTTTGTCAAAGAAATTTCAATAAGCCTTTGTTAGATCTGATACGGTTTTATGTTCGTTTGTAATCTTTCTGGGATTGTACTGAGAATCAGTATCATATAATTTTAGGCTATTTGTCAGAGCTAGCCATCTAAATTTGTTTCTGTTTGCGCGGATACAAATCTTCCACACTCCGCGATTCCTGATCCCTGGTACGTGATCATGAACGCCTATTTGAGGTTGTCACAGGTACCCCAACTTTGAATTTATTGCAAAAACAACAGCATTTAGATTTTAAAAGTTTTACGATTTCGCCTTTGAGCTCTCTGTTGAAAACGCCATATATTATCGGGCTGATGGCGATAGTGCTACCAACAACAATGCTATAAAACACGTAAACAAGGCGAGGAGCGAAAAATTGACTAAGAAATACTCCAACTAAATCGATGACATAAAATGGCGTCCAGCAAATCGTGTAACTCAGTACGATAGCAAACAAAAGTTTTGTTACTTTAATTTCCTTCGCTGAAATTCCGCTGCCGCTTCCATTTACACCTCCACTGTGTCTCAGTAATGCGTTGTGTTCTTTCACTCTTTGGTAAATCTTGAAATAACAACAAGAAATGATAAGATATGGAAGCTGAATGTTAAAGAAACCTGTCAAAAAAGCGTGCACCAGATTCAGCTTCGTCACATCAAAGATACAGACCCCTTTTCCGGGATGAAATTTAAACTTGTTGCCGAGAAGCATGTAAGACACAGGAAAATTTCCAGCCAAGATCCATGACACAGCGATCGATATATAAGCGTTCCTCTTTGTAAAGTACTTGCGATGAAGGTTCGATTTTACCATGAGGAAATATCGATTGATTGCAATTAAGGCCATGGAATAAATGGAACCTGTGGCTAACATGGCAGTAATGAATCCTAAAAACTGGCAGAGAGCGTCACCAAATGTCCACTTTCCTTTTAGTACTACCTTGGGGATGAAAATCCAGATGAATAATGACAACAATAACTCCATCGCACTCAGAGAAGCTACGTAAAAGTTAGAGATAGTTCTTAGCGATGGAGTCAGGCTTATGACCAGGAGAACAAGAAAATTTCCACAGACGCCGATTAAACCTACTAGCAGAAACACAACCAGTTCTGTGAAAATCTCGGCTTTTGTTCTCATTGCTAACTGCAAAGTGAACATTTTACTTCGATTTAGCTGAGCTTCGTTGTCTGCAAACATGTCAGTTGGATTCTCCTTTTCTATTACCAGCCGGGCAAACTATTGAACAAGACTGAGATAAAACATTGATAAACGTTATATAAAATATGCAAAGTGTTTCGAGCCATAAGTTACGACAAATGCCTTTAACTTGAAATATATAGGAAATTCTTCGTCAGAGAGGAAGAGCGAGGCAATGATTGAACGAGGGAGCGCAATATTGGCATGAAATGGATATTTTATGAAACGGATTTTAAAATGTCAAACACAGGAATTCAGGGAAAAGTTTTCTAGAAGAGCAAACCTTTAGTGAGCGAGGATGCCAGCTGTCTTTTGTAAGAAACCCTATGCGTGAACTCTTTACGCCTCAGTGGTTATGATCTTGGGTTGTTTGCTCATACCTAAATTTAATCACAAAAACAATGACTTAGCACAACAAGGAACTTACCGCCAATTGTACACGAAGTTAAAGACTATAATTTGCAAGATCATTCAAAGAGAAGGACATGACTAAAGCTGTCAGCTGATAGAATCAATTGATTGTGAACTACCTCTTCCCCAAATGTCTTCTCCAAGTTGTCCATAATAAATGCGACAGTTAACATAATTATATGTTTTCTTTTTCTTTTTCAGTTCTACCTTGGACAGACTACACGCTGCTGTCATGCGATTACTATTGTTTTAGGGACGCACAATGGGATCGGAGCAAATTTTTTTCCTTGATATAATTTTTTCTTTCACGTCAATCTGATTGTTTGTCTGTACTTTAAATGACTGGTCGGGAAATGGCCAGACTATGTCACGAGTATTCCGTGAAGTGCGCAAAGTAGTTTTCCTTTCTACGTTTCCTTTTTCGTTGATGATTCACTTGCTCTTTAATTTAAGTTACTTTCAATTAAACTTAGATCCTGGAAGTGTTTCCGTTAAGTCTTGGGGAACATTACATTTGATCAATTTTCATAAAGATTAAAGAAATATGTCAAAATGAAAATATGAAATCCTTTGATCAGCGAGGGTTCTTCGGGAATAGTGAACCCTTGAAAGAGTTATCAACGTACTTTTCTCCTCAAACTAACGACCAAATTTTCATCGGACCAGTTTAGACAAGGAAATCACAGCGCAAAATATAATGTATATGACATCAAAAGGTTTTCCAGAAACATGTCACTTACCTCAATCGGTTCTTTTAACAGAGGACGTCCTTCGATATCGTTGAACAGTGAAAAGATTGCTTACTTTTTGGTCAATAACTTCACTTTAATAGAACCATGGATTTCATCAATTTTTGATGACTTTGAGTTAAAATTCACTCGCTGAACAACAGCTTTCGCTGCGTGAGATCGCCAGTCGAAGTACAAGTAATTAATTCGAAACTAAGTTTTTTTCACCTGTCGAACATGATTCAAATAGTGCTGACAGTTGGTAAACATGGATGAGAAAACAATTGGGGAAACGAATTAGTTGAAATGGAAATCTAGGTTCAGGTTTCCCCCTGTTTTATAGCTACGATTTACTAAGAGTTTCAATATTCTTTTGTTATTTTATTCTTATACTTTGACTCAGTCGAGGAACAGTTCTTTCTTGCTTAAAGTAATTTATAATTTTAATTTTTCCCTTTTCTTTACCTCTTAACATAGTTACATGATTCACTTAGCTTTATCAATAGAAATTAGTGGAAGTTGTATTAAGTAGATTCAATATGCACAGTCACAGAGTACTTTACCTCGCGGATATAGTTTCAGTACAGACAATTTTAATCACTATTTGCATAATAAGAACGGCCCACTGTAATGTTTTATTCATCACACACAAATTTCTCTGAATCAGGGGAAATGAAATAATTACACAAAAAAAGCTTGCGAAAAAACACATTAATTAAGAGTCATCTTGTTTTTTAATAACTGTCCAATTTTGCATCCGTGAACATTTTTTTCAAAGATCGAGGCCGAGGCTGATTATTTTTTATCTGACATCTTAGTTTCTTTAGTTCTGGGTTGGGTACTTTCGCTCAACGTGGCAGTATTACATTGTTTTTCCTGTTGCCTAACCTAACAATCCTGTTAAACTCCGTTTTAAACTCGCGGTTGAAAAACGCATAAACGACAGGATTCACAGCGCTGTTGACGCCAACCATGTATGAATATAGCTGGTAGACTTGACGAGGGAAACTGTACTTTCCAGTAAACAACTCTGTAGTGTCAACAATCAACACTGGAAGCCAACACAAAACGTAAAAGACAACAACAATGAACAGAAGTCTTGTAACGTTTAGATCTTTGGCAGAAATCCTTGGAGAATTATTGGGTCTGTTATTCAGATTAGCTTTGTGCTTCCGAATTGTTAGAAATATCCTGAAATAACTGGAAGAGATTATGCTAAACGTAAACAAGGCGAATGTCATATTCAAGGCGAGCCCCTCTGCAACACTGACGTCATCGAGGTCATAAATGCAACAGAACTTTCCCGGATGGTAGCGGAAGTTTCCTTTCAACAGGAAGTAAATTGGCCAGACGAAGGCGGCTAGCCAGGCGAGTGACAAAGAAGTCAACACTGGTTTCACTTTGAAATACTTTCTGTATAGGTTAGGCCGTACAACTTTGAAATAACGATTTACAGAAGTTAAAGTCAGAATGAAAAGCGACGCTGATCCTAGCGTTGTAGCAGTGTAACCGTGATACGAACATGACGCTTCGCTGTAAGGCCAGCGACCCGCGATCAAAACGCTTAAGGACAGCGGCATAACGAGGAATGACATGAGCACATCGGTCAAAGCCAAGGCCGTAATGTAGTAATTTGGCGTGGTGCGCAAGCGTGGATTTCGTTTGACTGCCCATAAAACCAATGCGTTGCCTAGAAACGCAATCAGCATCACTATCACCATAGGAAAGCTCTCCAAAGTAATTTGTAACCACCCTCTCTGCAAAAGGGAACGCGCCATTTGGAGCGACTGTGAAGAGAGATTGACTGGAACGGGCATTGTAATCTTCCCTAGGCTGTCTCGAGTAAAAAACGTGATTTCTGCAACGGTGGTTGGAAAAAATGTTTTCTGTGCACTGGTGTAGTAAAAAAAATTATGATTTTCAGCTAGCTAAAATAGAAATAATGAAAACAATAAGAATGAGCCGTGAGACCAGACTAAAAATCAAGGCTTACAATAGATCTATAAGGAAGACCTCCACGGTTTAACTGGTTTATCTTTAAATTAAAATCTTTAACTCATAGCATAGAGACAATACCTCAAAAAAATATGGCTTGATAATATCAAAGAGGAACCTTTGAAACCTTAACGAAAGATCCAGGCGGATTCCCGATTTCGGGAAAATTTCGTCTTAGTTTCTACATGCTCAGTATCTGTGAATATGTGCTATACCCAAAGCTATCATGCAGTCTAAAAGCTTGCCGATCTAAATGTACGAATGAATCTACTTTTATTTTAAAACTCTAAGTAAACCATACTATTCTTTGGTCTTACAGCTCATCTCAGACGATAATGTTTAAATAATCTTAGCTTACGACAAAGAGACCAATTCTTACGCTACTCAGAATTTCAAAGAGATCAAGAATAAAATCTCTGTCACTTTTGCCCCCCTTCCTATGTATTTCAAATGCGGGGAAGCTGACATTTTCATGCTACCAAAGTGAACACTTACTTACCTTTGCAGCTCCGTCGTCTAAAACTTAGACATTCTGTCTTTTCCACTGCGACAAAAATAATAGTTCCAGAAATTAAAAACAATCAGTGTGATGGCTCCAGGGTTCCATCAGTTAATTGAAATCTTGGTGGCTATAAATAGGGTTTTTTTGTGACAGCTTAACTACTTTCTCGCAATTCAAATGAATCTTTCTATTGTAAATACTATGTCATTTATTAGAAACCTCGAGCTCACCATGTGATGACCGCAAATATTCATGAAAAGTCAAGATTGTTCAAACTTGTTTGATTTTAATTTTAAACCACAACAGATTCACTTAAAAGTTTTCAGTTCTACTTCAAATACGCTTTCAGTAAGTCTTTGCAAATCGACCTGTTCAATTTGGCCATTTGAACTGTAAATTGCAAAACAGAAACCGCGCACTAATCATCGATGGAAGTGAATAATACTTTCTTTAAGATCGCTAAATGGATTTGAAGAAAAACTTGTCGCGACAGTCATTGAACTTGAGTTTTTTCGCCAAACCAGTAACGTTTTTTTTCAAAAGTGTACATGCACTTTTTCTTCTTACGCGCTCTCTGATTGACAGGTGTCAGATTGTGACTGATACTTGTAAAAAAAAGTTTCAAAGTTAGTTTGGAAGCCTTTTAAATCACTTTTATCACTGTACAAATAAAAATATTACGGTGAAATCTCTCTCTTAATCTGCATTATCTATGTTTTAACAACCATTTACTCGCTCAAAAATTGTTCAGTTTACGGAGGATCTTGCCGTAATCACAGCTCTAAGTCATTCGGATTATTTTGGCAGGAATTTAGTGAAGTTTTAAATAAAAATAAAAACGTTATTCACCAGCTTAGGTCCGGGTCCGTATTGTGAAAAATTGCGCCCTTAGTTTTTCCCAATACGGACCTCCCGACTGGCGAATAACATATATATATGTTTTGAAATCGCTGTTGATCCCTGTAATCTAGTTGGCTTTCAGCAGTGCCATTTAATTACGAATCGCATTATCTTTTGCTCCAAGCTGCATCTTTTTTTCTAGTCAAAGAGAAATCAAGCATCACCAAAACAAATCCACCAATCAGATTCCGAGGTTTGTTTAAAGTAGAAGAGATGTCAACATGTGGAAACTTTACATTTCCGGTTCGCTTCTCGCGAAAAAGCGTAACGAAAAGGTAACATTTTTTTAAGATGTTGCAAATCTTGCCAATGGAAGATATTTGAACTTATTAGCAATGCAAAAAATTTGGGAGTTCTTGTCTCGTTTCATGAAATGTATTTGAATTGAAGTCAAATCAAAAGCTTGAAGTAAAGTTGTCAACAGATTTTTGACGTAAAATATGTCACTATGGTTTTCGTGTGACAGCATGCGCATTCTCGCACCAATGTAAAATTTCTATGGCCTGGATAACGCGAGCTTGACATCATAAAGACCAACGGTTCAAGGGAAAAACAACCGAAAGCCTGTCGAGGTGTCCTCTAAACGAGTTATGGGGCGAATGCACGTAATATAACATATATTTTGAATAAAGTTCTCAACCAGTCGATCTCAGCTCAGCTTTGCCTTCTTCTTAACGCTTCAGTTGTATCCCATTTCTGACCAATTTCAAATTTTTAGCAGATTTTTGGCAAACCTTACTCGAGCAACAGCAACCGGCCGGGATATGACCCGTCTCGCCGTCCAGTAACGTGCGTCGCTTTTGCACATGAAGCTCCATGAAGCTGTGAGGGACCTTTAGCAGTTAGGACAGCAACGCTAAGGGAGACGTTGATTTTATATTCTTAGTTGAAATCTCGCGAATTACTGGATGTGTTTATTGGGGCCACAAGTTAATCTCAGCATATCGTATGAGAGCGGCGTGGAGTACTAAATGGAAACTTGAATAATTAGCCGTCGGGTTCTCTCTTTGCGACTACGCAAATTTTGATGATTTCACTTTGTTGTTTTGTAGAGGACGACTAAGAAATGTACACAGTTTTAAAACGCACGTGCTGAGCTATCGTTCTGCTGCTCATTACATCTTTTGTTTTGCCACGTCCTCGTTGCCGTCGCCGTGATATGACGTCTTGCGCGCGGAGAAGGCGTGCCGATGACATTTGTACGTGTAAGTAATAATATGACTTCGAGAGCAATTTGGCGCTATCAATTAAGTGTAAATTTTTCAAAGACAACAAAATTGCACAAGTCTGTAGGGCGAGTGCAATTTGTAGCTAAAAATATTTAGATAAAAAGGAGGCAAAACCACGAGATAATTTCTGTCTCAGGGACCACAATCTCTTTTATGCGATAATTCCATTTCTACAGGGCCAGTGTTCATGGCGCTCAAAGGGGAAAAGTTACGGATGGTTTAAAATAAGCTTTGTTTGCATTTGGTAGTAATCTCGTACCCAGATCTTCGCTTCGCCCACAAAAGAGATCTGGGTACGAGGTTTAATCTGGATATTATAATTATTAACTTTATTTTTGGACCACTCGGCGGATTTTTTTTGTGTGTGTAAATGGATTCGTTTCTACTATGTCTGAGTTTGGGCTATGTGCCATTTTCTTCCCTCTCTCCCTTTTTTTTTCAGTTTGATTGCCTTTCATCAGAAATCTAAATATCCAAATATAGTGATTTACCATTGCGTCATACTACTGTGCGCATGTACTTTCCCAGTCGGTTGCCAACATGGCGGCTCGGCGAACGGGATTACTGCTATTCCAACGATGTAATTTTTGTTCGAGAGAAACACTCAAGCGAAGATTTGGCTCTACTGTGTGCAGTTTTTCAAGAATTGGAAATAATTTACTGGTTGCGTCACGTAGAAATGGAATTTTCTTTTTGTCGGGTGAGAACCTGCTTCCGTATATCAGCTGACATAACACAACTTTTTCGAAAACAACCTTACATAATCGTTTTAACTGCTTTGTCACCTCTATCCTCAGCGTCTTCGCGCAAGATTAACCCCTCATTTTTGGGAGCGATTTCGTCTCATAGAGAATTTCACACGTCAGGTTAGTAAAACAAATATCAGACAGATTTCACCGGCGATATTTTGCGACGATCGCAATTTCAACCCACGTGTTCTTGCAATGTGAAATATTGGAAATGCCGGTATGAGTTAAATTTTTGAATGATCTTTTTGATGTCGCTTCTTATTTGAATATATTTTGGTGATAGCTACGTATGAATCGAGAAGAAAGATGGTAACAATTTTTTACTTTAGTCCAGTTCAAAAAAAAATTGCGTTTACCATACTGTCCTGAGTGTTTCCATCAGCAATGACGTTTGCGAAATATTCTGCTATTGTTTATGTCATGAAACCTTTTTTCTCCACAGATCCAACTTACAAGAAAGATTACTACAAAATTCTTGGAGTACCACGTAATGCAGACCAAAAGGAAATAAAAAAGGCGTACTTTAATGTGAGTACATGTACACTTCGTGCTACATAGGTGTTGACACACCTTTGGATCGACATTTCAACATGATTCTTATCGTATCTGGCAAAAAGAAAGAGTCGAGAAGTCCTGATACCTTTCCTATGGTAACTTTAGTAAGATGCTGTGATCAACAGAATTTTACCACCTTTGTCATCTTTTCAAAACACCAACATGAACATTCTCTAAACACATTGACACTTGTCAGGACCTTTAATAAAAGGCAAATAATCTGTAGCATGCATGAGTTGCAATAATAAGGGAAGAATTTACAGATGATAGGAAAGTGGTGGAGAGAAAAGGGTTTCTCCACACATTTCCAGAGAAGAAGGTAAAGGAGAAGGAACTTTACTTCACTTGAAATTAAAGATGTGGACTATTCAGATACTAACACTACATTACACTTACATTCCTCCTATAACTAGTCCTATTTATTCTCTTTAACCCTTTACCCCCTAACATCAGTATACGTTATACGTTTCTTGTGGTATTGACAAGGAGGAATTGTTTATCAATCAAGATATTCCTGAAAAGGTTAATTATTTCCCACATAATGTATGGATAAATTATATTCTAGTTATATTCTAGTTACTCTAAAGAGTTTAAGGGTAAACCAACAATAGATGTAATGAAGTAAGCATGTGTTTTTCACCTTATGATTCAAGCCTGTGTACCAAATGGACATGTTTTTTTTTTCTATTATTATTAATTTATTTCTTTTGCATCCAGAGTTACACACATTGCTTAACATCCATGTTCTTCTTTCAGTTGGCAAAAAAATACCACCCAGATACAAACAAAGGTGCTGATGCAGCCGAAAAGTTTCAGGAAATAAGTGAAGCATATGAGGTATGTCACTGGTAATATTCTATGGGACATAATTTTTGTTTGTATTTAACTATAAATTTTTTCAATATTGATGACATTTGGCCAAAAAAAACTCTCTTCATCATGCCTGGCCTCTTTACTTGAATACACCATGTCAAGATGTTGTTCCTGGTTTTCAGTTGTTGCCTGTGAATCTTTCCTTTACTGTGTGGGAAACATCACTTTTGAAAATTTAAATGGGAAATAAATTAAAAAAAAAAAAAAAAGGACAAAAGGATAAGAGTGGTGAAGGATGCAGATCAGAGACATGAAATAAAAAACACTTCCTGCTAAAGCTGATAGGTGGCAGACTTTTGCTTAACTGATAAAGAAGTAAAGAGAGTCAAAGTTATTTTCATGACCAGACGCTGTCACTATTACAGTGAGAAGAAAAATTGTATTTTACAGTACTGTTGTGACTTGTAAATGTTTCTCATAAATCCACATTTTCCACAGGTTCTGAGTGATGACAACAAAAGGAGTACATATGACAATTTTGGAACTACAGATTTTAGTGGTGCTGCAGGTAAACAGTCTTTGTGGTGGCACATTTATAACCAATTGATTTCTTGTAATGTTAGTTTTTCATTTTGATTAATTAGCAGCTCTTTTACAGTTAAAAGCTTGGAAATTTCACATTGCAATCTTGTCTCTTAAAGTTAATTGTATAGAGGAAAATACTGACCTTGGTGGTTGAAATTTTCTCTTCTAGGCGGTAACCCATATGGTGGTGGAAATCCTTTTGGTCAAGGCATTGATCCAGAAGATATCCTAAAAAACTTCTTTCGTGGAGGAGACAATCCCTTTGGCTTTGGGACCAGAAGTGGAGGATATGGCTCTGACTTTCAAGAAATCCAGCAGGTCAGACATTCAAAAACTAAACAATTTTGTCTCTCTTTCTACCCCCCTTCCTGATAGTTTCTTTAAAACAAAACGTCACATATTTATTTTCATTATATATTCCTATTATAACATGCTGAAAGTTAGCAGCAGTTAAGTGTCACCCTGACACCATTGTCAAGGTAACCAAACAAGTTATTAACCCTTTAATTCCCATGACAGATCAAGACAGAATTTCTCCTTACAATATCAACCAGATATGAGATGAGAATAAAGACAAATATCAAGTTGGGGATAATTAGTTGATTGAATACTAAATTCTCTGAACTAGCATTATAAGAATTGTATGGTTGACAGTAAGGAGAATTACGAATTTGATCTGGGAGTTAAATGGTTAAGGGCTTTGCACTTCTGGTTTTGACTATATAGTTACCTTCTGTTCAATATTTTTCTCAGTTACTAAGAAGATTGCATGATGATAATATTGGAATATCATTCACTTTCATTAGTTTTTATCAGTCAGTGAATTTTGAAATTCACATGTCGTGTTTAATTTGGGAATTGTCCAGGAAACATAACTGCATTTTATTTCATGATGTTATTTACATTTTTGCTTCAGCATGTTCTAAACCTGTCTTTCATGGATGCTGCCAAGGGTTGCAATAAAGATATTACAACAAGAACAAAAGTAGTATGTAACAGATGCAATGGCAAACGAGCAGAACCTGGAACTACTTATTCGCAATGTCCCACTTGTAAAGGAACTGGAGAAGTAAGAATTGTTCATCTCTGTTGCTCTTTGCTCTTTACATTAGTGTGAGATCTTGAATTATTTTTTGTACTGTAAATGGTTTCAATAGGAGGGTAACATTTGATTGCATAGTGTGATGTTCTTGATGGGGCATCCCAGAGAAGGATAGTTTCTTGCAGTGGCAACTGATGTCTCAACAACCTTGGCTGAAGTTGTGATAGTCTCGACTCTGAGGATGACTTCCTCTGATGTTGTTGAAATACCAGTTACTTTTACTGCCAGCAATCCTTTTATGCAGGAGTACATGTACCTCCAGCTGGATAATCAGAGTAAAGGATCACATTTATCTGTGCAAGATAGCAGAAGCATAAACCATGTGAATTTGTTTTCAGGAAACAGTTAACACTGGATTCTTTCACATGAGATCAACCTGCCGGCGCTGTGGCGGCCAGGGTGTTTTTATTAGCTCACCATGCAAGAAGTGTAATGGAAAAGGAAGAGTGAATGAGACCAAGACAATTACCATCCCAATTCCTGCAGGTATGTAAATTGATAAAATGTTGTACTCTCTTAACCATGAAACAAATTTGTATATAATTTGTGCAGCTGTTCATCAAACCTTTAACTCCCAGAAGTTTATTAACAATTCAGCAGATTGGTTGGTGTGTGGATAACAATTTTTTTGATGGACAGCTCTATCCATTCTTTGAAGGATTTGAACAATTGTGAGGAGGTTTTGTTACAAAGATGGCTAGTCAATTTTGTGAAAATGTAGTCATCATTTTAATACTTTTTTAACTCACAGGAGTTGAAGATGGGCAAACTGTCAGGGTGCCAGTTGAAGCTGGAGAAATATTTGTAACATTTAAGGTTTGTGGAAAAAATCAATCTGTCAGTGTGTTCAAATTTTGGTGTGTCAGTAAGTGTAGATATGAAAGTAAATTAAATTTTTTTTACCCAGGATAACTGTTGAATCTTTTTTTGGCATATGTTTGGCTTGTGTTCATAGGTCAATGAGAGTAAAGTGTTTGAAAGAGATGGAGCAAATGTTAGTTCTACAGTGACAATCAGTTTTACACAGGTAATGTACATGTACCTCATCATCTTTGTATTCTCCAACTTGTCGAAGCACTGTGGGCATAGTGAAAATAATATCAAACTTGTATCTCTCTACAAGGAAAGCAGAAACTAAAGTATCTCATTGGTCTTAAAACCAGCTCATAAAGCCCAGTTCAGTGACAGATTAGTGCTTTATTTAATGTGTCAGTTCACAAGTGGGGTCAAAATTTGGTAAAACCAAAAAAAGTAGCACATGAGGTGCAACTGAGTGTTTCAGTGATGTTCTAAACATATTTTGACATCTCCTGTGATGTATTTCTGCTCAGACCCACAGCAACATGGAATCTATTTGTTTAATATGATAAAAAAGCAAAATGTTGTTAATGGTGACAGCTATGCATCTGTCTTCCAATAGATCATAATTCAGTCATATTGTGCTCCTATAACTCATTTTGGCATGCTCTTAACAATGGCCAGTTTTCTTAAATATCTCTGTCATTTATCTCTAGGCCATTCTGGGAGGCACAATACGTTCTCCTGGTATTCATGGAGAGATTGAAATCAAGGTGGGTGTAAGTCACACAGTCAGGGATATCTTAATGAAGTTAATGTGTTTTGCTATGATTGCAGATGTTTCAATAATATATGGTACAGTACCAATTGATAGGTTAGAATAGCAGGTTGATAGTTTTGAAAGACTCCAGGGCCTTCTGTTTCTAGGAAGATTCAGGCTTCAGTGGGAAATTCTGAAGTTCTGGACCCTGTAGTTCCATTTTCCTGGTTTTTGAGGTCTAATACAATCCATGTGGCTTTGTTGTTCCAAGAAGCAAACCATTTTGAACAAAATGATTTGAAGTGATTCACAAGTATGTTTTAAAGTGCAATGATGTTAGCATAAAGAATACAAGTGGAT